TGTATATCTATATATATATGTGTCAGATGAAGTCGGCCGATCGTTTATTAATTAGTTCAGCCGGAAAAGGGAACCCGACTGCCTGTAGCTGACTGGTCGCCTAGAACCTGTATATCTATATATATATGTGTCAGATATATATATATATATATATATATAGCGATAATAGAAACTGGCTATGCACGTGAACACTACGTGGGCATATGTACATATTCAGATGCTAGTAGCTGTAGGTAGGTTTATTACGCAGAGACGCAGAAACGCAGGATAACCTTTGGGGGTAGCGAGTGTGTCTGTGGAAACGTAGCGAGGGTGACCTTAACGTAATTAAGGACGTCACATATCCGTGACGTGCGCACGAGCGACTCGTTCCCCATCCAATTTTCACGTGGTGAGTAAAGAACGCCGAGGAGAGTCTCTCGCGATATTGGATGGGAATTAAGCCCCGATCGAACTAATTGCTACTCCTTAATGAGCTTTATCACTGATTACTTGGATGGGAGTGTCACCCGTTATATACATACACTATATTGCGAACCCTTCAGTCAGTTAAATATAGACGTAGCTGAAGGACTGGTCGGAGTGTAGAAAAATGTTTAAAAAATAAATCAGTTAAGGGTTGTAGGAAAAAAGAGTATAGCAATTGAATAATTACGATCGAGAAAAGAATTTGATTGCACGAATGTAACCGATGTTGGGATTTTAATTTTAGATTTTTTTTTTCGGAAAAATTTCTTTAAGGGCTCTTTGTCCAGGGGCGAGATAGAGGGGTCCTTTTGTAGAATTTTTTTTGGACTTTTCAAAGCTCGAGCTTGAGCAACACCTGATAAGTGTGCGGATAGCGGGAGGAATCGGTGGGTGCGAATAAGGGTGAAAACATGTGCTGGGGTGGTTGTGAATGTGAGTAGGGGTGGGTGGTAGGAGTTTTTAAATATTTTAAGAGCCATCAGCCATGGTGAGCACGTGTCAATATGAGTGTTGGAGAAATTTACTACACCCCGTGGAATTCCCGTGACACGTGTTATCGGGGATGATGCTCGACGCGGTCTCCTCAACCGTCTATTTCGACTGGGACACACCCCCTTCACCCCCTCAGAATCCCGTCCCGCAAAAGCTGCAGCTTCACGCCCGCGCGACTTCAGCTGCGGAATAAAAAGTTGCCTAGATGCAAATGGAGGGTGAAACATGCATGCCGCAACAACCCTCGCGGTGTTGCCCACCTACCACTGTATAAAACACGGGTCCCTAAGCACACCCTGTTTACGGCCCTGGTCCGACACTCTCTCTTGGCAAACTCTAAACCCCATGAACTACCTGTCTAGGTAGGTACCTTGCGCCAACGGGGAATAGAGGATGTCAATTTTTTAATAAAAATTCACCAGCCACCCTTATTAATACAGGCAATTAAATATTCTCATTGGGAAATTATCATCGATCAATATACTCCAAATAAGTAATTAAATCTTACCACGGTATCGATATCGACCTCAGTATGAATTTTCCAAAAATTTCTTATTTTCTTTGATCCGTCATCTGAGAACCCCTGTCTGCTTCCCTCCTGAGGCAAATCATAAGACATGAATGTAGTATTCCTTCAAACCGTCACCTGACCGTCAACGTCAACCTAACGTTAGTAGATACGAGGAGAAAAGCCGGGAGAGACGAGCCGATCTATTATTTAGCCAGCAAAATGGCAGCTTACCCTTACGGGGTAATGTGTTCCGAAAATTCATGGAAGCTGGTGTATTTTTAATTTCACTATAATACGTATATATATATATACATTGTAACGAAAAATCTAAGATAATGATAAGTTAGAAAGGTACTCCCCAAATTATGACACGATCTTTCGCCTACAAATGGCTCCGATACTCTTTCCGAATTTTTCGAGTCTACGCAATACAAAATAAAGAAGACTTAGCAAAATGCCGGATGTGCGCCAGACGCATCGTTGCGTCATGATAATAGGAAAATAGGTCCGACCAGCAGGAACGGAACGAAAAGGTATGGTGGAGGGTCTGGCTCGACGCAGATGTTAAATAAGGGAGAGATAGAGGAAAAGAGAGTGAGAAAAATCAGATTGAGACCCGATGAAATTCAGTAACAGAAAACATGTAAATAATGGCCCTTTTATTTTGGGACTTGAAATAAAATACATTAAAAATTTAACAATTTCAGTTGCGATACTTGGAAGGTCCGCGAAATCTGGGTTCCACTGGAGTCTACGCACGATACATTGGCGTACGTATCCTTGTCGCGAGACTTGGAATGCGGCAATTATGAGGACGACCTGCTGCCGTCATCCCTGGATGTCCAGGTGATGTCGGGTGGATGCTTCGTTGGGTCCCGTGTAGACCGGACGTCAGAGGGTCCTTTCTCCTCGGCCTAGGGTAGCTGCCCGAGCTCCCTGTCCGGTACGGATGCCGTTAGCTAGGCATCGGTACCGGAACTGACGTGACGATAAGTCGTACATGACGATGTTCTCGTCGGGTTTTCGCCCTGGTTTATTCGGGGTCGCCCGTAGCGGCGTAGAGGTGTCTCCTGACGTTGGCATCCCTGCACGCTCCCTGACGTAACCGTTGGCAGTTTCCTTCGGGCGCGACTAGAGAAGGTGAAGTTCTCGATGCTGGTTATTGGTCTTTTTCGGCATAACAATGTCTCGATGTGCCGCATGAAAGTTTTTTACCATAGGAATTAGCCTAATCCCATTAAATTATATACTCGAGACCCTGGAGTTCTTGGCCGGTTATTTTAGCCAGCGCGACACTAAGGGACGGTACTACGTCCTGTATGATAAACACAAGAGTCGACCGATTCTAGCCTTGTGACGTAAATAACGTCACAATGTATATATATATATATAGGTGCGTGCACGAATACACGCGTTTTTAAATAACGCAAGCAGTCACGGTCTGTCTGACGTAAGATATAAATATAGAATTCTTAATGACGATAATTATAATTACGGAGAGAAAGCAAGCTATATGAACCTTTGAGAAAAATATGTTAAAAGTATAAAAAAAAAGATACGCATTTATATATAGTACAGAAAAGCTCCATTATACGTCCGTCTAGTATATCCTGATAACAAATCGCGAACAACTGCGTCTGCTGACATGTTTCAATATGGCGTAGGGTTTGTTAACGTCGGACATAACTTTCATTAATTGGAGAGGACTCTGCGGAGTGAAGGCAGTGGCGTGGCTGCCGCGGGCTTCGTAATTAATCTTACGCTCTAATGAGTGTCAATTGGCAGGAGCTGCCAATTAACGTACTAGCTGCCAGCTTAGTTTTCAGTACCAGAACGGAACTAAGAGACCGGTCAAGTCGGTGGTGTTTATCATGGATGAAAAATTCTGACACAACAAAAGCGTACGTAATTGAATTATACATTGTATGTTAAAAAAGATAAGAGAACAAAAGTGTGAAAAAAAACACATTTATCCAGCACATCTTCTCGTTAATTATAAATATCGTCTATTTTACTCCGGAAACATTCTAACCTCACCTGCCCCACAATGTAGCATTGATAACTGGACGTAATTAAAAGACGTTCGGTACCCTAAGAAATCAATTGAAAAAAATTATCTGTATAAAAAAAAATTTTATATCTACAGGGAAATCACTAAAAGATTAGAACCTTATCAGTCCATTAGTATATATTCCTCGCTGACGCACTTCAGTGCGCAATGCAAATATTCTCCAACTGGATCGTTATATTTATTTTTGTTACCTATACTACATACAACTATATATATATATACCCAATATACTATACGTATATAAAAGTATCGCTGGCAGCACCTTGCAGACCATTAAGCTTTAACCCCTATCCTCGTAAACGGCCCAGTAACACGACACCGCTTCAAGACATATTAACAGAGATAGGAGTCAAGAGTCGCAGCGCTGTAAATAATATTGCGATGAAATAGTCGAAATAAAAGAAAAATGAAAACCAGCCCTTAATACCCAATGGCCATTTCTTTCGGGATAATGCCAAGGATCGCGACGTGTTTGACTCTCAGCCTAGTAGAGGGAGTTTATTTTCGTTAGAAAACAAGGCGTATATATATATATATACACATATGCAGTATATCAACGAGGGGTGCATTGGAGTGAAGGTATCGAGAAACGAAGGAGGGAGGAAAGTCAAGGATGAGAGAGCGAGAGATAGTGAACGCGAGTAGGTGAGTAAGGGTGAAGCTTGGGAAAGGGTGGCAGGAAGGGGGGGGGCAATCTTGCTAATGTAGCACCCTCTCTTCCTACAGACCCTCGGCCAAACCACTACGTATAAATAACGCGCGATCCCGTCACCCTCCCTCCACCCTCCCCTCTCGCCCTGTCTCCCCCCCTTCAGAATCAACCCGAAAACTTTGCCAAGAGAGTACTAGGTACGTCTCACCTTTCGAGCTTTTGCACTGGTATCCCCTGTCGACCTCTTCTGTCTCTTTCTGACATACAAGCCAACCTCCGCTTCCCCCCTACGCTCTTATTACGTATAGTGCGCTTATGCTGAGATACACGTGATAGCTTCGAAAGGGGTAAAACGCTAAAGTCTTAATTTACAGAGATACTATATTCGTTATTATTATTATTATTTGTTATTATATAATAAGATATCGACGAAACTAATTAATCTTTAGAGTCACAATATGAATTGTTAGTCATTATATTTTTTGGATGGTGGTGGTATTCAGTGATATAGAAGTTAGACGGGGTGCGAGAGGCCGAGAGAGTTTTGGATATGGGGGGTGGAAAACGTTCTGAGGGTTGAAGGCGGAATGGAAGGTTGATTATGGTGGGACTGTGTGTGTATGGTACAGCTTGTAGATAGATAGTGCGTGGTTGAGAGGGGTGGATGGGATGGAAAGCTCCCAATCAAATATACATGAGTTCATTAAGATGATATTTATCGAATGGAAGGTATTGGCATAATGCCAGGAACACAATAGCGCCAAAAGACCTATTCATCCGCTTAGTCTGTATCCACCCTATGTTCGGAATGGCGAGTCGAAGACGGAGGCATTAGGGTTTTGTATGTTCTGGCTATTAATTACAGAGCCGTGTATCTTTTTCGTGGTGGTCCAGAAACATGGAATTTTTGTATGGTTAGGATGGAGCCTTTGAAAGATTTGGTCCACGTGAAATGTCATATATAATGTAATTGGTAGAAAATGTAATTGATGGGATTTAGAAAAAAAAATTATATAAATTGCAATCGTTTTTTTTTTAGGTTTTACAAAAATTTGATGGTGGATTTTAAAAATCGTTTTCATTTCTTGGGGGATTTTCTATATTCTTCATCCCGTCGTTGATTTCGCCCCATGGCTTTGCCGTCTCCGTCGTGCAACCCCTTCGGCCCGGATTTCGAGGGGTATGCGCACACGGCACCCTGCAGCTGCCCCACCATTGCCATTTCAATTATCCCACTTTTAGCGGGCTTATTTAAATCCTAAGTGCATACTCACGGACTACTCGCGGATGAACTCGCGCAATAGGTCTACGGCAGCAATGGCAACGACGCTGGCACCGGGAACCAGCAGCCAGACAGCTGGGGGTTCGTAGCCACAGCTACCAGGGACCTTCACCAACACGGTTGGTAGTTCACCAATTCTACTTCGTTCAGTAGGTGGTTCGTTCGTTCGCCATAGTGCATTTGCATTTGCTCCATTATTTACCCGATCGTCTCATTTCCCTTGTTTCCCACTATGAAACATCGAACGATGGGGCGAGACAAGGGCTGCGTTGTAAAACAGGGGTTTTTGCTATACAGGGGTATTAGCTCGTGGGGATAGTTAAGGAGAAAGATGTAATTTTATTATTTTCATTAAAAAGGTATTTTTTGAAAATATTAAAACAGATGAGAATTGCATTGATTTGTTTTCCGAATTATTTATTGGTATGTAATTTTTTTTTCATTATGAATCTTTCAAATCTCCCGCTGTTTCTTGCCTTCCTTCTTTTTCTCAGTCTTCTCTCTAGACAATTATGCCTGTCAAAGAAACTGTCAAGTGCCAATGTCCCGCGTGTTACGTTGGAATCATTTGTAACGACTTCTCGTGAGAAAAAGCGATAGCCATTACGGGGATCGTTTGTTGGATTTGGAGTAGGAAGGGTGGCTGGGAAAAAAATTGTCAGCATTCGTTTCCCTTATATAGGGTAGGACGACGGGTTTGGGATTAAGGGAGCATCAACTGTATTAACTGACCGTTCCTAAAGGAAATACATTATGGCGAGAACGATTAACCTCTGAAGTCAGAGTCAAAGTCAGTATATACATCCCTTGTGAGGTCTTCGCGATCAGCCACCCCTATCAAACAAAGTTACTCCCTGATACCTACTACCCTCCTCACAGCCCGTAAGACCAACGTTGTGATTTCTCGCACAACTTTTTTTACCCGATGAAAAATTGCATTAATTTCCCTGGAGGTTCCGTCAGGCTGGCAACCCCACGTCTTTGGAAGCTGGTCAAGACATTTCTATACAGACATTTTTTTAGTCGTGACTTTGCAAAAATTTCGAAACATTAACAGCGAATTACTTCGAGTGAAACAAAGTCACGGCTAAAAAAATTAATATCCTCTTTCAAAATTTTGAACCATCAAATTTGATTTTTCGCAAAAATAATTTCCGATTCGCACACCTTATAATTTCTTAATCGATCCATCAATCGAATCCTTAATATCCTCTGATTCCAAAATTAATAATTATCACAATCATACGTTATCAAACTGTCATCCGTATCGTTACTGCAAGTCGCCTTTATCTTATCAAAATATAATTTTTATATCCGTAAAAAGTTTCACATCGGCCGATTATATCCTAGCAAAATCCTTATCAATTTTTTTCAACCCTAAAATTTCCCTTCCACCTACAGTCTCCGGACCACCGACGCTGGTCAAGGAAAACGATTAATAAACTAATCATTCTCAGGCGGCGGTATCAATCATTTTACGGTCGGAGCTTACTTCTGCATCGGACAGCTTAAGTAACCACGAGCCAGTCGGCAGATTATATTTGCTTCAGTTCAGTCGGGCTCGTTGTTCTACGTATAGAAGGAGAGGCCACCCTTTGCAATATCCTCGGTAATCGAACTGTCAATGACTCATTCACAGGGTACGATAAATTTTACGACGATTTACTCCGAGTTGGATGGTACTCTTTCTTTCTCCATCCCCTCCCCACACCCCACCCATCGTTATTTCCTCCTCGAACCCCCATAATTAGTCGACCGGAAAAACAATATTAAAAAAAAAATTGTGACAATAAAATTGACATATTATCGAATCCGAGTAAAGAAAAATTAAAATGACGATTGAGGGTAGAGACGACATAAAAAACAAAATTTCGATTGTAGACTATAAAACGTACAAAATAATCGAACAGCGATTGAGAACCCCTGAAATGTATGAGATCTTAGCTGGCAAGAGTTTCCTTATTGTTGGATATTATAATAATACCCGGTCCATAACGTGTATCGTCTATTATACGTAACCTAATAGCCAATTTAAGAGAACACGATTTAATAAGTCAAGCGAGTCGCGCAGACCGGCATATTGGATCAGCTAGCGGCAAAAAGCATCCCCTGATTCCTGCACGATTTAACCTCGTTTCAAGAAGAAATTTATTGTGCCCAGACTCGAACTTATAATCCAATCAAGTTTCTTAGCCCTTGAGCTGTACGTTGCTGGGATGTTTATTCTAATTTTAAATTCTTAAGAAACCGACAAAAGACTCGGCTACTTGATCAGCATTTTCATCGCTACTCAAACTGTCTCTGGGGATAAAGCTTAGAATTAGGACTGAGGTTGCTAATAAATTTTACACGCGTTCACCTAAAACAGCCTTTCGCAGTGCATTTGGTGCGATGAGTATGTGGTCATAATACTCTGTGTTTTAATAGGTTTACCCCTGTACACACGCGGACGAGAGATTACGCCATATTGATTCTATCGTATTTACGGATTATCATAACGGTCTGCAAAATATTCAATTCAATAAAGCGTAATCCTCGTTAGCTTAGAATTACGTACGCTCTATATATCTATCATTGGGAATATTCTTTTTTATTATTGATTGATATATATATATGTTCTAAAAAAAAATGAGCAAAGTTTATATATATATATATATATATATATATATATATATTTCTTATCCCTAATATATTTCATTCAACTTCAAGTTTAAGAGAATCCAGACCAGCAGCTAACCAACCCCCACTAATTTTCACCCTAAGCTACTAATGCATGTAGTCCTGTAGGTAACAAGGACCATTGTGTCCTGGACCAGCAGTAGAATAGACGGCAGAGAAGGTGCACGATGCCCAGGGGCATCCGGGCAGCCCATAATTCATTCCACAGAAAGGAACA